CAGCAACCCGGCCACCGGCTCAAAAAGGTTGCCTACCCCTGCCCTAAAATTTTAGTTGTTTGTTTTGTAAAAAATTGTTCAGAAGAGTGTTACGATGGCTGATTTGATATAAAGACCCCTTTTGGGTCCCTGCCATGGCCCTGGACTGGGAAAAGCCCCAAATGTCATAGACTCAGGGTGAGCACATCACGTAGGCACCTGAAAGGTCACATCTGCTCTTACAACAATTTGCAGATTAAAAGGGCCAAGCCTAGGAGCTGCAATGCAGGACATTCACACCTAGCAGATTTATGAGTACCAGCCCAGATGTGTTTGGCTGAAGATGAGATAACATTAACATCCCATCTCCTCTTCTCTCCTTGGAAATTGTTTACTTCAAAGAGTGGTAATCAGAATCCTTTGATATACAATAACAACTTTCTGCCTCAGTATAAGTTTAAGGGTATAACTATAAATGATCCCCAAAATGTCAGGCACATTGGGTCTGGTTAGATTTCATGGTGCCACTGTGAATTCTGACTTGGGTCCTGGCTCTTTCTATTGTCCTTTTCCTTTTCACAACAGTTAAGTCTATCCATCTTCATTCATCATTAGAGCAGCCTTCTTCAGGTAATTATCACCATTAGAAAGCCTTGTGTTTCCTCTCCAATCTAACTACTTTATTCTGACTTCTTGTGTGTATGATTGAATGGTAGACTGTCCGAATAAATCACAGTTCGTTGGAAAGCTTTGTCTCTATCAGTCTATTCCCTCAACACCTCCATAAACATAGGATAAAAGATCCCATAGAAGCTTGGACTTTAGTAATTCCCCAAGTTCAAGTTCTTCTTTACAAGAGTTTGCCCTTGCTTTCCTCTGAGGCTTAGGAGTTTAGGGGGGGGGGGGGGGGGGGGGAATGTGGCGTTTAAACAATTATTAACCCGTGAAAATCTCACAATTGACATTAAAATACAATTAAATTGAGGTTAACACAAGAGCCATTATCCTGAAAATAACCAGAGAATAACCAGGCAATAAATGAATGGGAATAAATCCCATGAATTATTTTCTGCTGTTTCTTGCTTGGTTATTCGTGGGATAATGTGATTGACTTGCCCAAAGACCCCTAGTGAAGGCCTGAACAGACTGCCAAAAATAATCCACTTTGAGACCACTTTAACTGTCCTGGCTCAATGCTAGCGAATCATGGGAATTCTGAGTTTTTTTCTGAAACATTGAGCCTTCTCTGTCAGAGAGCTCTGGTG